CTCTTTGTATTTGATGAACGACAATTTTTTATCCCAGTATAATCCTCGTAAATCTCTATTCCTCTGTTCACTATGGTTGAAAAGTGTGTCACTGTTCCCTGGTTTTGTCCAATCATAAGAAAGCATGGTCAGCAGAAATATTCACTGAGCCTTTGTGAGTCCTGGTTATTTTCACAACTTAAAACTGCAAAACTAACAGTTGTTTCTTCATTAGATGTCATGAAAGCCCAGGGAAGAGACATTGTGTTCTTAATTGACGGTTCTACCAAAGTGGAAGCTTCATTTCCTTCCATACTGAAGTTTCTTCAGAGTATAACTCAGGAGCTCAACATCGGCAGGAACGCTGACCAGGTTGGAGTGGTGCAATACAGCGATGACCCCAAGGTTGAATTCTTCATGAATACGTACTCCAATAAGGAAGACATTTTGACTGCAGTTCAGAGGATGAGATTCATGGGTGGGAGAGCACTCAATACTGGTAAGGCTTTGGACTATGTCATGAGGCATATCTTCACTAAGCCGCTGGGAGCAGACTTGATGCAGGTGTTGCACAAATGCTGGTGCTTCTGACTTCCGGGAAGTCTAGAGATGATGTGAAGCAGGCGGGAGAGGCACTGAAGCGAGCTGCAATTGTGACATTTGTAATTGGAGGTATGGAGGCAGATGGCCATGAATTACAGGAGATCGCATATTCTCCCAACCTGATGTTTGCTGTGGAAGATTTCCAGTCCCTCCCTGACATCAAAAATCAGTTGCTGAGACCTTTGAAAACATTAACTGTCGAAATTGTTAAACTGCCCACCACTGTCACTGAAGGTTTGTATTTAAAACTTTTTAAAGTTCTTTTTAATATCACTACCACTCTTTATGCATGTGCTCATCTCTCAAATGAACAACACTTTCCACTCCATACTTGAAAAAGTTTAAACATTAGTGTAGGTTAACAGCCTCCCTCTCTTTCTGATGAGAGATCAGAGAGAGAGACTGTTAGTAGTAGTTAGCGTGAATACTTTGCAAGCTAGAGGACCTGGGTTCAATTCCCGGGCAGGTCGAAACCTCAGAAATTTCACTTCTGCACACACCTTTGCTGACTGAGCAGTAAGTAGGCACCTGGTTGTTAGATGATTGGTAGATTGCTTTCTGGGGATAATAATCCCCACCACCCCCCCGTCACTCCACGACTATTTGTGGGACACTGCCGTGTGAAATTGGCTGCCAAGTTTAGCCCACAAAATACACTTTACAATATATTCTGTGAAGCGCTTTGAGACATTTCAATGACGTGATAAGGCGCTATATCAAATGCAGGGATTATTATTATCATCATCACATTCCTGCCCTTTGGGACCCGTTCTATGCCCCAAATTCTAACTTCCTGTGTCTCCAGTCATCCCCTCCAAACATGAAGCGAATGACCAAATTTTTATCTGCAGGACTGTTGGGATCTCTAATGCCAACCTGAGCAGGCAGGACCTTTTCGGTTAAAACATTTTGCGCAAAGGATGCAAAACCTCTGACACTGCACTGCACTATTATTTATTAATTAAAACAATAGATTTCTACATTTTTTTACTGTAGGCAACAAGAGAGATGTTGTGTTTCTAATTGACGGCACTTCCAAGGTGGGGACAAATTTTTATCGAATCCGTGATTTTATTTACAATCTCATTCAAAATTTTGATGTTGGAGAGGACAAGGATCGGATTGGTGTGGTACAATACAGTGACGATGCAAGGGTTGAATTTCCATTGAATGCTTACTCAAATTTCATGACACTGCTGGATGCAGTGAGGAGGCTTGGACTCAAGGGCGGTAGAACGCTGAACACTGGCTCGGCCCTGGACTTTATTATGAAGAATGTCTTGACAAAATCTGCTGGGAGCAGGCGAGATTTGGGTATCACACAAATTCTGGTGCTGATCACAACTGGAAAGTCTCAAGATGAAGTCAGGTTGCCTTCAGAGATTCTAAAACGAGCTGGTGTTGTTACGTTCACAAGTTGGAATAAATGAAGCAGATAACAGTGAGCTCCATCAGATCGCATACTCCCCCAAACTAATTTTTCAAGTCAATGATTACTGGGATCTTTCGGATTTGGACTTGCAGCTCCTCACTGTTCCTAATCCACAGATGGGTGAAAGCGTTGAAATACCATCCGCCACAACAGGTAAACCAAGTATTGTCCTTCAACATTTAACCAATTAGTATGGCACCAAGGCAAACCTTGTTGTGTTTGGTTTCAGGTTCAATTAGACCAACACTCAACGGTATTTAATTGGATTGGATCTACAGTAGCGAGACTATTACCACATTAATTGAATACAAAATATATTTGTGGAGTTAGTGAGTGAGCGAGAGTGAGAGGAGAAATATATATAGAGAGAGAAGTAATATTTGTGTTACTTGTATGTGAACGAGTGACTGTGAGAAATGAGGAAATGGGTAAGGGAGAGAGTACGTCCAGCTCCCTTATTACCAATTAGTGGATCGCTTTCCGGGGGTAAAAATCCTCAAAAAAAATTTGGTCACTCAATACACAACTGTTTGTTGGTCACTACTTTGTGCAATTGGTTGCCGTGTTTCACCTGCAAAATAAGCAATCAATCCACTTTACAGTATATTATTGTATAGATTACTGTCCACCTGCTGTTACAAAGGAAATCTTCCTAGTAACCTGGTGAACTTCAGGAGAAACCACAAATGAATGTGAAATGATTTTTTGCCTAAATTTTTTCTAAATTTTACAGAAGTTGATAAAAGGGATATTGTTTTCCTAATCGATGGATCTGCCAACATTGGGAAAGGTTTTCCCATAGTTCGTGAATTTCTGTCCAGAATGATTGGAAACTTTGATGCTGGTGAGGAGAAGGTCCGATTTGGGGTGACCCAATTCAGTGAGAATCCGAGAACTGAGTTCTTCTGAAACTTATTCCACTAAGAATGAAATGCTGTCTGCCGTGAAGAAGCTTAAACTCAAGCGAGGAAGAAACTCAATATCGGTGCAGCCCTCGATCACGTGATGAAGAATGCCTTTGCTGCCTCTGCCGGAAGCAGGCTGAAGAGCAGTGTTCCGCAAATCCTACTGCTCCTCACTTCTGAAAAGTCAAGGGATGATATTTCACAGCAGGCAGCCAAGCTACGAGAAATGGGCATTGTGACATTTACGGTTGGGGTGAAGAAGGCTAATCAAGCACAACTGGAGCAGATAGCATATGCTCCCAAGTTGGCTTTCTCCATGAGCAGCATCCGGGGTTTGTTTGACATCGAACACCAGCTTCAGACCATCATGAAGTCAGTGGTCGTTGAAGTAGTTGAAATACCCTTGAAAGGTATTCCTTGATCTTTTCCAATTCCATTAGAATGTCTGTGCAATTACTTAGTTATAAATAATAATAATCCTTGCATTTGATATAATGCTTTTTCACGTCTTCTAGCCATCTCAAAGTGCTTCACAGAATAGACTGTAAAGTGAATTGACTGTATATTTGTGGGCAAAATGCGGCAGCCAATCGCACATAGTAGTGTCCCACAAACAGTCATGGGTTGAAGTGACCAATTTTTTTTTGAAGGATTATTATCAGGTGTGTGGAGTAAGGAATCTTGCCCAAGGTTTCGTCCTGCCAGGAATTGAACCCAGGTCTCTCGCTTGCGAGGCGACTACTCTGACCACTGAGCTACACTTGGACATAAGGGGCATGTCCCAGGAATTCTGGGTATTTAGCATTTTGGGGAAAAAATAAGGCAGAGCAAAAGATAGTCAAGATAATAATAATAATAATCTTGCATTTGATATAGCGCTTTTCACGTCTTCTAGACGTCCCAAAGTGCTTCACAGAATATACTGTAAAGTGAATTCACTGTATATTTGTGGGCGAACGCGGCAGCCAATTGCACACAGCAGTGTGCCACAACAGTCGTAGATTAAAAATGACCAATTTATTATTGTTTGTTTTTTTGGCGGGATTATTATTAGGCGTGTGGAGTAAGGAACCTTGCCCAAGGTTTCGCCCTGCCTGGAATTGAACCAGGTCTCTCGCTTGCAAAGCGAGTGCTCTAACCTTGAGCTACAGGACTCCAAGATAGTTAGGTGAGCTCGGATTTCATCTTAGTATGGATGTGGGAAGGAGGAAGAGGATGCAGGTTGCTGCACTAGAAGCTTCATAGGTAAGATAAGAGGAGAAATGACTATAGAAGTATTGATACAATGGAGAAAGATGAGTTAGGCTGTAAGCAAGAAAGAAAGAAAGATGGAGGCTTGAAGTAAGAGAAGTTTTGCTTACGAGACAAGAAGCTTTTTCAAATATCCTATCCCGTAGTGTGAAAGATAAGTTACTTAGAGTGTTCTTGAGGGGACCAAAATGTTTGGCACAAAAAAGGAAACAGCTTCTTTTGAAGCAGTCTTAGAAAAGGAAGAATGTGATTTGAGATCACAGAAGATAATGAGCCCAAGGACTTCAATATAATTGATGAAGATTAAATTATGCCAGAAATGCAACATGATCTTGGTAGCGTCCTAATGCTTATGGTTGGTGGTAAACATGAAACTCTAATTATATAATAACACTAGATGCTAATTAATGCCTGTGTAAGGCCCACATTGGAGTGACAGTGTTGTGGATGTGCTCCATTATTGGCATTGAGGTGCCATCCTTCAGATAAAACATTAACCGTGGTCCTGTCAAGCTTTTCAGGTATATTGGATACCCTTAAGAAATAAGGACCATTAACTAGCACCAATGAAAGGGGATCAGGAGTAGAAAAAGCAGGAAGCCAAGAAGAACTGACTAGGTAGTTTTGTTGGATTTGTAACTTGTGAGCTGAGAATAAAATAGTTTCTACACATTGAGTGTTGAGAGCATAACAAGGTAGACAGTAAAAATCCCATGGTACTATTTGAAAAAGAAAGATTTTTTCCTGCCAATCATAAGCCCCCAGATAAAATTGGTCATTCACATCATGGCTATTTGTGGCCATTGCTGCGTGCACATTATCAGCCAAGTTCACTTACAAATTACAATATAAATTTATATAGCACCTTTCACGTCAGGAGGATGTCCAAAAACTTGAACAGTCCAGGGTTTGAACCCAAACTGCGTGGGGGCAGGTAGGTAGGTTGTTGCTTTTATAGTAAATCCTATGAAACATTTTGAGATGTTTCAAGATCTTGATACTATATCAAATGTAAGGAGTATTATAATTTGTAAATGAGCTAAGTGTGCTTTACTTTCTTTTTTCTGCAGATCAGTCTCACTAAATAACATGCCAGACTACTGCAATGAAGATGCATGACATTCAGCCTCTTCACAATACGCCTTGGTGCCTACAAAGAATGAACAACTCACATTCCAAAGAAATTGCATTTCACCCACCAGCACTTACTTTTCCACTCACAATAATTTCTGCTAATATACTTTATCAATACAAGGCTGTCTTGTTTTCTGAAGTATTTTATTAAATACTGCAGCTTGTAGTTAATGAAGATACATACAAAGCATTTACATGGTAATGAAACTATACACTGCATTGGAGTGCTGGATTTGATAGTTTCATACTACAGTTTTATGTCAAACAAACTAACAAGGTAATTACAAGCTATACTCATGAATGTAGAAATAAAGTCTGAGGTACTCTGTTTGGAGGACTCACCACCAACTTATCTTCCTCTCGGAGCAAAGCTCACCACCAGCTTAGGTTGAGTCTCACACAAGGAGCTTTTATTAAAATCATTCATAAAGACAAAGGTTTGTATTTTGAATTTCTTTTTACATCTATTGTTTCCGAATACTCTGAATGTGTATTGCAGAGAATTGAAACTCACAGTGGCCAGGAGCAGATTTAAAATACATGGTTGGAAGTGACACAGTCCACTGAATACTGCCCTTACATTTCTGACATTCAGGCTTGAATCAATAATAATAATCCTAGCATTTGATACAGCACTTTATCACGTCATTGAGATGTCTCAAAAGTGCTTCACCGGAGTGTAGTGACTGTGTATTTTATGGGTGAAATGCGGCATTCAATTATACACAGCAATGTTGCACAACAGCCATGGAGTGAGTGACCAATTTTATTTGGGAATGGTTGGTCAGGACCACTGGGAGAGAAAAACTCTTTTGCTCTTTTTGATATGCCATGGATCTTAACATTCACCTGAACAGGCAGGCGGACTCGGTTTAACATCTCATTCATCTAGGTTGGATTCATAGTCTAAGGTGACATTCCAATGTGTGCTTGCATTGTTGGAGATGCCGTCCTGCGGATGAGATGTTAAACCGAGATCCCGCCTGCCTGTTCAGGTGAATGTTAAAGATTCCATGGCACTATTCAAAAAGAGCAAAAAGAGTTTTTCTCTCCCAGTGTCCTGACCAACCATTCCCCAAATAAAATTGGTCACTCACTCCATGGCTGTTTGTGCAACATTGCTGTGTATAATTGAATGCCGCATTTCACCCATAAAATACACAGTCACTACACTCCGGTGAAGCACTTTTGAGACATCTCAATGACGTGATAAAGTGCTGTATCAAATGCTAGGATTATTATTATTGATTCAAGCCTGAATGTCAGAAATGTAAGGGCAGTATTCAGTGGACTGTGTCACTTCCAACCATGTATTTTAAATCTGCTCCTGGCCACTGTGAGTTTCAATTCTCTGCAATACACAATTCAGAGTACTTCGGAAACAATAGATGTAAAAAGAAATTCAAAATACAAACCTTTGTCTTTATGAATGATTTTAATAAAAGCTCCTTGTGTTGAGACTCAACCTAAGCTGGTGGTGAGCTTTGCTCCGAGAGGAAGATAAGTCTGGTGGGAGTCCTCCAAACAGAGTACCTCAGACTTTATTTCTACATTCATGAGTATAGCTTGTAATTACCTTGTTAGTTTGTTGTGACATAAAACTGTAGTAATGAAACTATCAAATCCAGCACTCAATGCAGTGTATTAGTTTCATTACCATGTTAAATGCTTTGTATGTTATCTTCATTAACTACAAGCTGCAGGTATTTAATAAAATACTTCAGAAACACAGACAGCCTTGTATTGATAAAGTATATTAGCAGGAAATTATTGTGAGTGGAAAAGTAAGTGCTGGTGGGTGAAATGCAATTTCTTTGGAATGTGAGTTGTTCATTCTTTGTAGGCACCAAGGCGTATTGTGAAGAGGCTGAATGTCATGCATCTTCATTGCAGTAGTCTGGCATGTTATTTAGTGAGACTGATCTGCAGAAAAAAGAAAAGTAAAGCACACTTAGCTCATTTACAAATTATAATACTCCTTACATTTGATATAGTATCAAGATCTTGAAACATCTCAAAATGTTTCATAGGATTTACTATAAAAGGCAACAACCTACCTACCTGCCCCCACCGCAGTTTGGGTTCAAACCCTGGACTGTTCAAGTTTTTGGACATCCTCCTGACGTGAAAGGTGCTATATAAATTTATATTGTAATTTGTAAGTGAACTTGGCTGATAATGTGCACGCAGCAATGGCCCACAAATAGCCATGATGTGAATGACCAATTTTATCTGGGGGCTTATGATGGCAGGAAAAAATCTTTTCTTTTTCAAATAGTACCATGGGATTTTTACTGTCTACCTTGTTATGCTCTCAACACTCAATGTGTAGAAAACTATTTTATTCTCAGCTCACAAGTTACAAATCCAACAAAACTACCTAGTCAGTTCTTCTTGCTTCCTGCTTTTTCTACCTCCTGATCCCCTTTCATTGGTGCTAGTTAATTGGTCCTTATTTTCTTAAAGGGTATCCAATATACCTGAAAAGCTTGACAGGACCACGGTTAATGTTTTATCTGAAGGATGGCACCTCAATGCCAATAATGGAGCACATCCACAACACTGTCACTCCAATGTGGGCCTTACACAGGCATTAATTAGCATCTAGTGTTATTATAGTAATTAGAGTTTCATGTTTACCACCAACCATAAGCATTAAGGACGCTACCAAGATCATGTTGCATTTCCTGGCATAAATTTAATCTTCATCAATTATATTGAAGTCCTTGGGCTCATTATCTTCTGTGATCTCAAATCACATTCTTCCTTTTCTCAGACTGCTTCAAAAGAAGCTGTTTCCTTTTTTTGTGCCAAACATTTTGGTCCCCTCAAGAACACTCTAAGTAACTTATCTTTCACACTACGGGATAGGATATTTGAAAAAGCTTCTTGTCTCGTAAGCAAAACTTCTCTTACTTCAAGCCTCCATCTTTCTTTCTTTCTTGCTTACAGCCTAACTCATCTTTCTCCATTGTATCAATACTTCTATAGTCATTTCTCCTCTTATCTTACCTATGAAGCTTCTAGTGCAGCAACCTGCATCCTCTTCCTCCTTCCCACATCCATACTAAGATGAAATCCGAGCTCACCTAACTATCTTGGAGTCCTGTAGCTCAACGGTTAGAGCACTCGCTTTGCAAGCGAGAGACCTGAGTTCAATTCCAGGCAGGGCGAAACCTTGGGCAAGGTTCCTTACTCCACACGCCTAATAATAATCCCGCCAAAAAAACAAAACAATAATAAATTGGTCATTTTTAATCTACGACTGTTTGTGGCACACTGCTGTGTGCAATTGGCTGCCGCGTTCGCCCACAAATATACAGTGAATTCACTTTACAGTATATTCTGTGAAGCACTTTGGGACGTCTAGAAGACGTGAAAAGCGCTATATCAAATGCAAGGATTATTATTATTATTATCTTGACTATCTTTTGCTCTGCCTTATTTTTTCCCCAAAATGCTAAATACCCAGAATTCCTGGGACATGCCCCTTATGTCCAAGTGTAGCTCAGTGGTTAGAGTAGTCGCCTCGCAAGCGAGAGACCTGGGTTCAATTCCTGGCAGGACGAAACCTTGGGCAAGATTCCTTACTCCACACACCTGATAATAATCCTTCAAAAAAAAATTGGTCACTTCAACCCATGACTGTTTGTGGGACACTACTATGTGCGATTGGCTGCCGCATTTTGCCCACAAATATACAGTCAATTCACTTTACAGTCTATTCTGTGAAGCACTTTGAGATGGCTAGAAGACGTGAAAAAGCATTATATCAAATGCAAGGATTATTATTATTTATAACTAAGTAATTGCACAGACATTCTAATGGAATTGGAAAGATCAAGGAATACCTTTCAAGGGTATTTCAACTACTTCAACGACCACTGACTTCATGATGGTCTGAAGCTGGTGTTCGATGTCAAACAAACCCCGGATGCTGCTCATGGAGAAAGCCAACTTGGGAGCATATGCTATCTGCTCCAGTTGTGCTTGATTAGCCTTCTTCACCCCAACCGTAAATGTCACAATGCCCATTTCTCGTAGCTTGGCTGCCTGCTGTGAAATATCATCCCTTGACTTTTCAGAAGTGAGGAGCAGTAGGATTTGCGGAACACTGCTCTTCAGCCTGCTTCCGGCAGAGGCAGCAAAGGCATTCTTCATCACGTGATCGAGGGCTGCACCGATATTGAGTTTCTTCCCTCGCTTGAGTTTAAGCTTCTTCACGGCAGACAGCATTTCATTCTTAGTGGAATAAGTGTTCAGAAGGAACTCAGTTCTCGGATTCTCACTGAATTGGGTCACCCCAAATCGGACCTTCTCCTCACCAGCATCAAAGTTTCCAATCATTCTGGACAGAAATTCACGAACTATGGGAAAACCTTTCCCAATGTTGGCAGATCCATCGATTAGGAAAACAATATCCCTTTTATCAACTTCTGTAAAATTTAGAAAAAATTTAGGCAAAAAATCATTTCACATTCATTTGTGGTTTCTCCTGAAGTTCACCAGGTTACTAGGAAGATTTCCTTTGTAACAGCAGGTGGACAGTAATCTATACAATAATATACTGTAAAGTGGATTGATTGCTTATTTTGCAGGTGAAACACGGCAACCAATTGCACAAAGTAGTGACCAACAAACAGTTGTGTATTGAGTGACCAAATTTTTTTTGAGGAATTTTTACCCCCGGAAAGCGATCCACTAATTGGTAATAAGGGAGCTGGACGTACTCTCTCCCTTACCCATTTCCTCATTTCTCACAGTCACTCGTTCACATACAAGTAACACAAATATTACTTCTCTCTCTATATATATTTCTCCTCTCACTCTCGCTCACTCACTAACTCCACAAATATATTTTGTATTCAATTAATGTGGGTAATAGTCTCGCTACTGTAGATCCAATCCAATTAAATACCCGTTGAGTGTTGGTCTAATTGAACCTGAAACCAAACACAACAAGGTTTGCCTTGGTGCCATACTAATTGGTTAAATGTTGAAGGACAATACTTGGTTTACCTGTTGTGGCGGATGGTATTTCAACGCTTTCACCCATCTGTGGATTAGGAACAGTGAGGAGCTGCAAGTCCAAATCCGAAAGATCCCAGTAATCATTGACTTGAAAAATTAGTTTGGGGGAGTATGCGATCTGATGGAGCTCACTGTTATCTGCTTCATTTATTCCAACTGTGAACGTAACAACACCAGCTCGTTTTAGAATCTCTGAAGGCAACCTGACTTCATCTTGAGACTTTCCAGTTGTGATCAGCACCAGAATTTGTGTGATACCCAAATCTCGCCTGCTCCCAGCAGATTTTGTCAAGACATTCTTCATAATAAAGTCCAGGGCCGAGCCAGTGTTCAGCGTTCTACCGCCCTTGAGTCCAAGCCTCCTCACTGCATCCAGCAGTGTCATGAAATTTGAGTAAGCATTCAATGGAAATTCAACCCTTGCATCGTCACTGTATTGTACCACACCAATCCGATCCTTGTCCTCTCCAACATCAAAATTTTGAATGAGATTGTAAATAAAATCACGGATTCGATAAAAATTTGTCCCCACCTTGGAAGTGCCGTCAATTAGAAACACAACATCTCTCTTGTTGCCTACAGTAAAAAAATGTAGAAATCTATTGTTTTAATTAATAAATAATAGTGCAGTGCAGTGTCAGAGGTTTTGCATCCTTTGCGCAAAATGTTTTAACCGAAAAAGGTCCTGCCTGCTCAGGTTGGCATTAGAGATCCCAACAGTCCTGCAGATAAAAATTTGGTCATTCGCTTCATGTTTGGAGGGGATGACTGGAGACACAGGAAGTTAGAATTTGGGGCATAGAACGGGTCCCAAAGGGCAAGGAATGTGATGATGATAATAATAATCCCTGCATTTGATATAGCGCCTTATCACGTCATTGAAATGTCTCAAAGCGCTTCACAGAATATATTGTAAAGTGTATTTTGTGGGCTAAACTTGGCAGCCAATTTCACAGCAGTGTCCCACAAATAGTCGTGGAGTGACGGGGGGGTGGGGGGGATTATTATCCCCAGAAAGCAATCTACCAATCATCTAACAACCAGGTGCCTACTTACTGCTCAGTCAGCAAAGGTGTGTGCAGAAGTGAAATTTCTGAGGTTTCGACCTGCCCGGGAATTGAACCCAGGTCCTCCAGCTTGCAAGGTATTCACGCTAACTACTACTAACAGTCTCTCTCTCTGATCTCTCATCAGAAAGAGAGGGAGGCTGTTAACCTACACTAATGTTTAAACTTTTTCAAGTATGGAGTGGAAAGTGTTGTTCATTTGAGAGATGAGCACATGCATAAAGAGTGGTAGTGATATTAAAAAGAACTTTAAAAAGTTTTAAATACAAACCTTCAGTGACAGTGGTGGGCAGTTTAACAATTTCGACAGTTAATGTTTTCAAAGGTCTCAGCAACTGATTTTTGATGTCAGGGAGGGACTGGAAATCTTCCACAGCAAACATCAGGTTGGAGAATATGCGATCTCCTGTAATTCATGGCCATCTGCCTCCATACCTCCAATTACAAATGTCACAATTGCAGCTCGCTTCAGTGCCTCTCCCGCCTGCTTCACATCATCTCTAGACTTCCCGGAAGTCAGAAGCACCAGCATTTGTGCAACACCTGCATCAAGTCTGCTCCCAGCGGGCTTAGTGAAGATATGCCTCATGACATAGTCCAAAGCCTTACCAGTATTGAGTGCTCTCCCACCCATGAATCTCATCCTCTGAACTGCAGTCAAAATGTCTTCCTTATTGGAGTACGTATTCATGAAGAATTCAACCTTGGGGTCATCGCTGTATTGCACCACTCCAACCTGGTCAGCGTTCCTGCCGATGTTGAGCTCCTGAGTTATACTCTGAAGAAACTTCAGTATGGAAGGAAATGAAGCTTCCACTTTGGTAGAACCGTCAATTAAGAACACAATGTCTCTTCCCTGGGCTTTCATGACATCTAATGAAGAAACAACTGTTAGTTTTGCAGTTTTAAGTTGTGAAAATAACCAGGACTCACAAAGGCTCAGTGAATATTTCTGCTGACCATGCTTTCTTATGATTGGACAAAACCAGGGAACAGTGACACACTTTTCAACCATAGTGAACAGAGGAATAGAGATTTACGAGGATTATACTGGGATAAAAAATTGTCGTTCATCAAATACAAAGAGGTTAAGGTAAAAAAGACCCTTGAGCCAATTTACTCTCATTCTTCGAGAATACCCTCTGCCATTTTCCTACTACAATACCAAACTGCTTCTCAAATGAGTCCAGTGCCCTGGTTCAACCAGCCTTCTTTTCACTCCATTCCAATATTAGGTAAAAAAATATTTTCCTAGTGTGCTAAGATTTTTCTTTGAAACTCTAAATCTATGTCTTTTTGTTCTGTTGTCTTGGCAGGTCCAAAGTATTATTCTGTATTTGCAATCTCAATCCGTTTTAAAATCTTACACCTCTATAAATTCACCTCTGAGATATCTCTTCAAGGCTGAAAAATCAGCTTGTCAAATTGTTGCTCATAGCTCATTCCTCTAATGTTGGAAGCTTATCAGAATAAGGAATGCTTTACCATATATGATAGTTAAAGCTCAGTTCAGAATAGCATTTGAAAATGTATTGTGTAAATACTCAAACACAACTAATATCAAGGTTTTCAGTAAAGTTAAGGGAATGACTTTGGAGAAGGAATATTTCATGGGGTGTTGGGGGTTCAGGGGGTCAGGGGCTCCAAGATGATGCGCCTGGCAATAGATTATCAAAATTGAGTCAATCCTCTGCGGTCCGGTTGCTGAGTCAAGTAGGTCTGCGGTACTATTGATGACAGATCAGCCTGCTTGGCTCATCAGCAGAATCTGAAGGGGGAAGAACAGTCACTGGAGACAGGGATTGTAACAACTTGGATACTGGTAAGCCTTATCAGTGGCTCCTAGATGTTCTTGAGGTTCAATCTTCAATTCTAGATCAGGATTTAAGCCTGTAATTTTCTGGTATGTGTGGCTCAGTATTCACAGGGCATTGGAACAGCTCTCTTCACCTTGCATTATTTTGATAGCCAATGTCTTACCTTTGATTTTTGAGCATTACCTGTAAAGGCCTCCTCTCGGCTTGTTGGCACCATCTCTTTGATGCTGGGAACCGTTGGCAGCTCAGAAACAACTTTAAAACCAGTCAGAGTTGAGAGTGGTAGCAACACTTTTTGCACTATATCTGGTAAGGACCGGAACTCCTTCACATAGAAAACCAAACTAGGATCTAAAGCAATCTCTGAAAGCCTCTGTTGGTCTGCATTGCCGACTCCAACAGCTAAAGCCATCACACCAGTTCTGAGCAGTGCATCTGATGATTGTTTGGTATCATCTATCGAGCTGCCGCCAGCGACGTGTACTAAAAACTGGGGCACTCCTTCCTCTCTCCTGCCTCCTGCAGATTTGGTAAAAAGGTACCTGGAGACATAGTCCAGAGCTGCTCCAGTTTTCAGAGTTCTACCCCCTTTAGGCCTGAGTTGTTTCATTTTAGACAGAAGTTGAGCTTTCGTTGTGTAGGTTTTCAGATAGAACTCAGTTTTTGCATCGTCACTGTACTGTACCAGTCCTACTCGTACTCTATCGCTTCCAATGTCCTGTGCTCCAATTATTCTTGCGACAAAGCCACGGATGGCGGCAAAATTTTTATGGCTGAAGTTCAATGTTCCATCCACGAGGAACACAATGTCTCTCCTGTCTGCCTTGGTGGTACCTGGGAGGGAGGGAGGAGTTAGGTTGGTGGGAAGGGGAGAACAATGAAAGAAACACCAAGGCAGCAGACTGTACATAACACATAAGACTTTCCAAGTTCTAGAAAGGAGTCACACAATTTGCCTTTAACAATAGATTTGCTAAGTGGATGGATAATGCCCCAGACCATACCCTGTTGTTGAGAGTCTATCACAAAAATTGATTGCTGAAATCCTCACTATCTTCTTATTTTAAAACTTTACACCACTACAAGGTCGCCTCTGAGACTTGTCTTTTCAAGGCTGAAGAGCCCCACCTTGTCAACTTGTTACTCTTAGATTATTCCTCTAACATTGGAAAGTTAATAACAGTAATGATCCTTGCATCTGATATAATGCCTTATTACATCATCAAGATGTCTTAAAAGACTTCAAAGCGTATGCTATAAAGTGGATTGACTGTGTATTTTGCGGTGAAACGTTGTTAGAATACGCAATGTTTTACCACATATATAAGATAAACCTGAGTCCAGAGGAGCATTTAAATAGGAATTGTGTAAATATTCAAACCAAAATTATTTCAGAGGGTTTGGAGAAAAAACAAGAGATTGGCTTTTGGTGAGGGAGGGAAAGTAAACAGCGTCTCCTTCAGGCTGAATTGGCACCCAGGAGAGGTGTTTGGTGATTAAATATCAGAATTGAGTCAATCCAGTACAGTCCAGTTCCAGAGGCAGCCAGGTCTGCAGTCGTGGTGATGACAGACCCGCTTGTCTGCTCATCAGCAGAACATGGAGGGGGAGAACCGACACTGCGGACAATGGATTCTTCCAACTCAACTCCCATTAACCATTATCAATGGGCTCTAAATGTTCCTGAGGTTCAATCTGATGATACAGGCCAAACTATTTTTCTAAGGTAATAACAGTATCTTGCATCTAAATAGCACCCTGCACTCAGGAAAATATGTCAGATAAGATGTATATTACAATGATATAACATTGGTGGGTTCAGAAAAACCTCTGACCTTGTTGATTTAGCAAACCTGAACACAACAACAACAACAATAAAATTACATTCGTAAAGCGCCTTTCACATCAGGAGGACGTCCCAAGGTGCTAAACAGTCAGGAATCCGGACCTGAACGTGGAGCACAGAGGTGGGATGAGGGAGGGCAGAGGGGGTAGGAGGGCGGCTGAAGGCGCGGTCAAAGAGGAGGGTTTTGAGTCATGCCGTGTAGGAGGCGAGAGAGGGAGCAAGGCAAAGGGATTGATTGTGGGATGGAGTTCCAAAGAGTGGGGCATTAAAGCTGAAAGTTCGAACGCCGATGGTAAGTCGGGTCAAGCTGGAGTCTGCTGAGCGGAATGAGTGGACAGGTTGATAGAGGGTTAGCAGTACATAGTAGGCAAAGCCGTGGAGGGCCTTGAAAGTGAGTGTGAGGATTTTGAATTCTATCCTCTGAGTGTTGGGGAGACAGTGGAACCGGGCAAAATGTCTATGGACAGTTGTCAGCAACCGGAAACCTGGCTGATTTTCCTCTCTTTAACCATTCCCTAACTTATCACCGCTTCCTAACACAGGCCACTGGCATACCCGAACTCCTGTCTTGGGGGAGATCTGTTCTGCCTGGCTCAGCATCCACAGGGCATCAGGGCGGCTTTTTTCACTTTCTTTTATTTTGTTAACCCACATCTTACCTTTGATTTTTGAGCATTACCTGTAAAGACCTCCCCTCCTCTTGTTGGCACCATCTCTTTGATGCTGGGAACAGTTGGCAGCTCAGAAACAACTTTAAAACCAGTCAGCGTTGAGAGTTGTAGCAACACTTTCTGCTCTATATCTGGTAAGGACCGGAACTCCTTCACATAGAAACCCAAACTAGGATCTAAAGCAATCTCTGAAAGCCTCTGTTGGTCTGCATTGCCGACTCCAACAGCTAAAGTCATCACACCAGCTCTGAGCAGTGCATCTGATGATTGTTTGGTATCATCTATCGAGCTGTCACCAGCGACGTGTACTAAAAACTGGGGCACTCCTTCCTCTCTCCTGCCTCCTGCAGATTTGGTAAAAAGGTACCTGGAGACATAGTCCAGAGCTGCTCCAGTTTTCAGAGTCCTACCCCCTTTAGGCCTGAGTTGTTTTATTTTAGACAGAAGTTGAGCTTTCGTTGAGTTGGTGTTCAGGTAGAACTCAGTTTCTGCATCGTCACTGTACTGTACCAGTCCTATTCGCACTCTATCACTTCCAATGTCCTGTGCTCCAATTATTCTTGCGACAAAGCCACGGATAGAAGCAAAATTTTTATGGCCGAAGTTCAATGATCCATCCACGAGGAACACAATGTCTCTCCTGTCTGCCTTGGTGGTACCTGGGAGGGAGGGAGGAGTTAGGTTGGTGGGAGGGGGAGAGCAATGAAAGAAACACCAAGGCAGCAGACTGTACATAACACATAAGACATTCCAAGTTCTAGAAAGGAGTCACACAATTTGCCTTTAACAATAGATTTGCTAAGTGGATGGATAATGCCCCAGACCAAACCCTGTTCTTGAGAGTCTATCACAAAAATTGATTGCTGAAATCCTCACTATCTTCTTATTTTAAAATTTTACACCACTACAAGGCCGCCTCTGAGACTTGTCTTTTCAAGGCTGAAGAGCCCCACCTTGTCAACTTGTTACTCTTAGATTATTCCTCTAACATTGGAAAGTTAATAACAGTAATGATCCTTGCATCTGATATAATGCCTTATTACATCATCAAGATGTCTTAAAAGACTTCAAAGCGTATGCTATAAAGTGGATTGACTGTGTATTTTGCGGTGAAACGTTGTTAGAATACGCAATGTTTTACCAAATATATTAGATAAACCTGAGTCCAGAAGAGCATTTAAATAGGAATTGTGTAAATACTCAAACCAAAATTATTTTAGAGGGTTTGGAGAAAATACAAGGGATTGGCTTTTGGTGAGGGAGGGGAAAGTAAACGGGTTCTCCTTCAGGCTGAATTGGCACCCAGGAGAGGTGTTTGGTGATTAAATATCAGAATTGAGTCAATCCAGTACAGTCCAGTTCCAGAGGCAGCCAGGTCTGCAGTCGTGGTGATGACAGACCCGCTTGTCTGCTCATCAGCAGAACTTGGAGGGGGAGAACCGACACTGCGGACAAGGATTCTTCCAACTCAACTCCCATTAACCATTATCAATGGGCTCTAAATGTTCCTGAGGTTCAATCTGATGATACAGGCCAAACTATTTTTCTAAGGTTATAACAGTATCTTGCATCTAAATAGCACCCTGCACTCAGGAAAATATGTCAGATAAGATGTATGTTACAATGATATAACATTGGTGGGTTCAGAAAAACCTCTGACCTTGTTGATTTAGCAAACCTGAACACAACAACAACAACAATAAAATTACATTCGTAAAGCGCCTTTCACATCAGGAGGACGTCCCAAGGCGCTAAACAGTCAGGAATCCGGACCCGAACGTGGAGCACAGAGTTGGGATGAGGGAGGGCACAGGGGGTGGGAGGGCGGCTGAAGGCGCGGTCAAAGAGGAGAGATTTGAGTCGTGCCGTGTAGGAGGCGAGAGAGGGAGCAAGGCAAAGGGATTGATTGTGGGATGGAGTTCCAAAGAGTGGGGCATTAAAGCTGAAAGTTCGAACGCTGATGGTAAGTCGGGTCAAGCTGGAGTCTGCTGAGCGGAGTGAGTGGACAGGTTGATAGAGGGTTAGCAGTACAGAGTAGGCAAAGCCGTGGAGGGCCTTGAAAGTGAGGGTGAGGATTTTGAATTCTATCCTCTGAGTGTTGGGGAGCCAGTGGAACCGGGCAAAATGTCTATGGATAGTTGTCAGCAACCGGAAACCTGGCTGATTTTCCTCTCTTTAACCATTCCCTAACTTATCACCGCTTCCTAACACAGGCCACTGGCATACCCGAACTCCTGTCTTGGGGGAGATCTGATCTACCTGGCTCAGCATTCACAGGGCATCAGGGCGGCTTTTTTCACTTTCTTTTATTTTGTTAACCCACATCTTACCTTTGATTTTTGAGCATTACCTGTAAAGACCTCCCCTCCTCTTGTTGGCACTATCTCTTTGATGCTTGGAACAGTTGGCAGCTCAGAAACAACTTTAAAACCAGTCAGCGTTGAGAGTGGTAGCAACACTTTTTGCTCTATATCTGGTAAGGACTGGAACTCCTTCACATAGAAACCCAAACTAGGATCTGAAGCAATCTCTGAAAGCCTCTGTTGGTCTGCATTGCCGACTCCAACAGCTAAAGTCATCACACCAGCTCTGAGCAGTGCATCTGATGATTGTTTGGTATCATCTATCGAGCTGCCACCAGCGACGTGTACTAAAAACTGGGGCACTCCTTCCTCTCTCCTGCCTCCTGCAGATTTGGTAAAAAGGTACCTGGAGACATAGTCCAGAGCTGCTCCAGTTTTCAGAGTCCTACCCCCTTTTGGCCTGAGTTGTTTTATTTTAGACAGAAGTTGAGCTTTCGTTGAGTAGGTGTTCAGATAGAACTCAGCTTCTGCATCGTCACTGTACTGTACCAGTCCTACTCGCACTCTATCACTTCCAATGTCCTGTGCTCCAATTATTCTTGCGACAAAGCCACGGATGGAAGCAAAATTTTTATGGCCGAAGTTCAATGATCCATCCACGAGGAAAACAATGTCTCTCCTGTCTGCCTTGGTGGTACCTGGGAGGGAGGGGTTGGGTTGGAGGGAGGGGGAGAGCAATGAAAGAAACACTAGCTTGCAAGGTATTCATGCTAACTACTACTAATGGTCTCTCTCTCCTATCACTCATCAGAAAGAGAGGGAGGCTGTTAACCTACACTAATGTTTAAACTTTTTCAAGTATGGAGTGGAAAGTGTTGTTCATTTGAGAGATGAGCACATGCATAAAGAGTGGTAGTGATATTAAAAAGAACTTTAAAAAGTTTTAAATACAAACCTTCAGTGACAGTGGTGGGCAGTTTAACAATTTCGACAGTTAATGTTTTCAAAGGTCTCAGCAACTGATTTTTGATGTCAGGGAGGGACTGGAAATCTTCCACAGCAAACATCAGGTTGGAAGAATATGCGATCTCCTGTAATTCATGGCCATCTGCCTCCATACCTCCAATTACAAATGTCACAATTGCAGCTCGCTTCAGTGCCTCTCCCGCCTGCTTCACATCATCTCTAGACTTCCCGGAAGTCAGAAGCACCAGCATTTGTGCAACACCTGCATCAAGTCTGCTCCCAGCGGGCTTAGTGAAGATATGCCTCATGACATAGTCCAAAGCCTTACCAGTATTGAGTGCTCTCCCACCCATGAATCTCATCCTCTGAACTGCAGTCAAAATGTCTTCCTTATTGGAGTACGTATTCATGAAGAATTCAACCTTGGGGTCATCGCTGTATTGCACCACTCCAACCTGGTCAGCGTTCCTGCCGATGTTGAGCTCCTGAGTTATACTCTGAAGAAACTTCAGTATGGAAGGAAATGAAGCTTCCACTTTGGTAGAACCGTCAATTAAGAACACAATGTCTCTTCCCTGGGCTTTCATGACATCTAATGAAGAAACAACTGTTAGTTTTGCAGTTTTAAGTTGTGAAAATAACCAGGACTCACAAAGGCTCAGTGAATATTTCTGCTGACCATGCTTTCTTATGATTGGACAAAACCAGGGAACAGTGACACACTTTTCAACCATAGTGAACAGAGGAATAGAGATTTACGAGGATTATACTGGGATAAAAAATTGTCGTTCATCAAATACAAAGAGGTTAAGGTAAAAAAGACCCTTGAGCCAATTTACTCTCATTCTTCGAGAATACCCTCTGCCATTTTCCTACTACAATACCAAACTGCTTCTCAAATGAGTCCAGTGCCCTGGTTCAACCAGCCTTCTTTTCACTCCATTCCAATATTAGGTAAAAAAATATTTTCCTAGTGTGCTAAGATTTTTCTTTGAAACTCTAAATCTATGTCTTTTTGTTCTGTTGTCTTGGCAGGTCCAAAGTATTATTCTGTATTTGCAATCTCAATCCGTTTTAAAATCTTACACCTCTATAAATTCACCTCTGAGATATCTCTTCAAGGCTGAAAAATCAGCTTGTCAAATTGTTGCTCATAGCTCATTCCTCTAATGTTGGAAGCTTATCAGAATAAGGAATGCTTTACCATATATGATAGTTAAAGCTCAGTTCAGAATAGCATTTGAAAATGTATTGTGTAAATACTCAAACACAACTAATATCAAGGTTTTCAGTAAAGTTAAGGGAATGACTTTGGAGAAGGAATATTTCATGGGGTGTTGGGGGTTCAGGGGGGTCAGGGGCTCCAAGATGATGCGCCTGGCAATAGATTATCAAAATTGAGTCAATCCTCTGCGGTCCGGTTGCTGAGTCAAGTAGGTCTGCGGTACTATTGATGACAGATCAGCCTGCTTGGCTCATCAGCAGAATCTGAAGGGGGAAGAACAGTCACTGGAGACAGGGATTGTAACAACTTGGATACTGGTAAGCCTTATCAGTGGCTCCTAGATGTTCTTGAGGTTCAATCTTCAATTCTAGATCAGGATTTAAGCCTGTAATTTTCTGGTATGTGTGGCTCAGTATTCACAGGGCATTGGAACAGCTCTCTTCACCTTGCATTATTTTGATAGCCAATGTCTTACCTTTGATTTTTGAGCATTACCTGTAAAGGCCTCCTCTCGGCTTGTTGGCACCATCTCTTTGATGCTGGGAACCGTTGGCAGCTCAGAAACAACTTTAAAACCAGTCAGAGTTGAGAGTGGTAGCAACACTTTTTGCACTATATCTGGTAAGGACCGGAACTCCTTCACATAGAAAACCAAACTAGGATCTAAAGCAATCTCTGAAAGCCTCTGTTGGTCTGCATTGCCGACTCCAACAGCTAAAGCCATCACACCAGTTCTGAGCAGTGCATCTGATGATTGTTTGGTATCATCTATCGAGCTGCCGCCAGCGACGTGTACTAAAAACTGGGGCACTCCTTCCTCTCTCCTGCCTCCTGCAGATTTGGTAAAAAGGTACCTGGAGACATAGTCCAGAGCTGCTCCAGTTTTCAGAGTTCTACCCCCTTTAGGCCTGAGTTGTTTCATTTTAGACAGAAGTTGAGCTTTCGTTGTGTAGGTTTTCAGATAGAACTCAGTTTTTGCATCGTCACTGTACTGTACCAGTCCTACTCGTACTCTATCGCTTCCAATGTCCTGTGCTCCAATTATTCTTGCGACAAAGCCACGGATGGCGGCAAAATTTTTATGGCTGAAGTTCAATGTTCCATCCACGAGGAACACAATGTCTCTCCTGTCTGCCTTGGTGGTACCTGGGAGGGAGGGAGGAGTTAGGTTGGTGGGAAGGGGAGAACAATGAAAGAAACACCAAGGCAGCAGACTGTACATAACACATAAGACTTTCCAAGTTCTAGAAAGGAGTCACACAATTTGCCTTTAACAATAGATTTGCTAAGTGGATGGATAATGCCCCAGACCATACCCTGTTGTTGAGAGTCTATCACAAAAATTGATTGCTGAAATCCTCACTATCTTCTTATTTTAAAACTTTACACCACTACAAGGTCGCCTCTGAGACTTGTCTTTTCAAGGCTGAAGAGCCCCACCTTGTCAACTTGTTACTCTTAGATTATTCCTCTAACATTGGAAAGTTAATAACAGTAATGATCCTTGCATCTGATATAATGCCTTATTACATCATCAAGATGTCTTAAAAGACTTCAAAGCGTATGCTATAAAGTGGATTGACTGTGTATTTTGCGGTGAAACGTTGTTAGAATACGCAATGTTTTACCACATATATAAGATAAACCTGAGTCCAGAGGAGCATTTAAATAGGAATTGTGTAAATATTCAAACCAAAATTATTTCAGAGGGTTTGGAGAAAAAACAAGAGATTGGCTTTTGGTGAGGGAAGGGAAAGTAAACGGGTTCTCCTTCAGGCTGAATTGGCACCCAGGAGAGGTGTTTGGTGATTAAATATCAGAATTGAGTCAATCCAGTACAGTCCAGTTCCAGAGGCAGCCAGGTCTGCAGTCGTGGTGATGACAGACCCGCTTGTCTGCTCATCAGCAGAACTTGGAGGGGGAGAACCGACACTGCGGACAAGGATTCTTCCAACTCGACTCCTATTAACCATTATCAATGGGCTCTAAATGTTCCTGAGGTTCAATCTGATGATACAGGCCAAACTATTTTTCTAAAATTATAACAGTATCTTGCATCTAAATAGCACCCTGCACTCAGGAAAATATGTCAGATAAGATGTATATTACAATGATATAACATTGGTGGGTTCAGAAAAACCTCTGACCTTGTTGATTTAGCAAACCTGAACACAACAACAACAACAATAAAATTACATTCGTAAAGCGCCTTTCACATCAGGAGGACGTCCCAAGGTGCTAAACAGTCAGGAATCCGGACCTGAACGTGGAGCACAGAGGTGGGATGAGGGAGGGCAGAGGGGGTAGGAGGGCGGCTGAAGGCGCGGTCAAAGAGGAGGGTTTTGAGTCATGCCGTGTAGGAGGCGAGAGAGGGAGCAAGGCAAAGGGATTGATTGTGGGATGGAGTTCCAAAGAGTGGGGCATTAAAGCTGAAAGTTCGAACGCCGATGGTAAGTCGGGTCAAGCTGGAGTCTGCTGAGCGGAATGAGTGGACAGGTTGATAGAGGGTTAGCAGTACATAGTAGGCAAAGCCGTGGAGGGCCTTGAAAGTGAGTGTGAGGATTTTGAATTCTATCCTCTGAGTGTTGGGGAGACAGTGGAACCGGGCAAAATGTCTATGGACAGTTGTCAGCAACCGGAAACCTGGCTGATTTTCCTCTCTTTAACCATTCCCTAACTTATCACCGCTTCCTAACACAGGCCACTGGCATACCCGAACTCCTGTCTTGGGGGAGATCTGATCTACCTGGCTCAGCATCCACAGGGCATCAGGGCGGCTTTTTTCACTTTCTTTTATTTTGTTAACCCACATCTTACCTTTGATTTTTGAGCATTACCTGTAAAGACCTCCCCTCCTCTTGTTGGCACCATCTCTTTGATGCTGGGAACAGTTGGCAGCTCAGAAACAACTTTAAAACCAGTCAGCGTTGAGAGTTGTAGCAACACTTTCTGCTCTATATCTGGTAAGGACCGGAACTCCTTCACATAGAAACCCAAACTAGGATCTAAAGCAATCTCTGAAAGCCTCTGTTGGTCTGCATTGCCGACTCCAACAGCTAAAGTCATCACACCAGCTCTGAGCAGTGCATCTGATGATTGTTTGGTATCATCTATCGAGCTGCCACCAGCGACGTGTACTAAAAACTGGGGCACTCCTTCCTCTCTCCTGCCTCCTGCAGATTTGGTAAAAAGGTACCTGGAGACATTGTCCAGAGCTGCTCCAGTTTTCAGAGTCCTACCCCCTTTAGGCCTGAGTTGTTTTATTTTAGACAGAAGTTGAGCTTTCGTTGAGTAGGTGTTCAGGTAGAACTCAGCTTCTGCATCGTCACTGTACTGTACCAGTCCTACTCGCACTCTATCGCTTCCAATGTCCTGTGCTCCAATTATTCTTGCCACAAAGCCACGGATGGCGGCAAAATTTTTATGACCGAAGTTCAATGTTCCATCCACGAGGAACACAATGTCTCTCCTATCTGTCTTGGTGGTACCTGGGTGGGGGGGGGGGTTGTGGGGGTGTGGGGGCATGGGCAGGAGAGCATTCAAAGAAACACCAAAGCAGCAGACTGTACATAATGCTTAAGACATTTCAAATTCTAGAAAGGAGTCACACAATTTGCCTTTAACAATAGATTTGCTAAGTGCATGGATATTGTCCCAGACTATACCCTGTTCTTGGGAGTCTATCACAAAAAATAGTTGCTGTGCTCCTCACTATCTTCCTATTGGTTGGCATGAATTCCATCCTCTGGTATTGCTGAGTTTCAAGGTTTTAGCGTTTTCCTGTGTGTGCTCTCCTTATTCTGGTTAATGCCAATCAGGTCATTTGGGATTATATTTCAGGTTATAAAGTCGAAAGCAGACGCATCATATTTATCACCAAATAAGTACACATGGCTCAGAGGGTAGCAAGTCTTGAATGAAGACAAGAACTCATTTGTGCCCAACAACTGGACACCCAGCTTTCCAGTCAATCAGAGGATGTTTATTAGATGGTGTTTATCTGAGTTGTTCAACCACTCTTCCTGTGGACTTTATTCCAATTGTTCGGTAAATAAATAGTTCCTATTGTGATAAAAGTGCCCTTTGAAATCCTGAATTGGTGTCTTCTTGTTCTGCTGACTTGGTATATTCAAAACTATTATTTTATATTTATATTCTCAATCCCTTTTAAAACTTTACACTACTACAAGATCCCCTTTGAGACATCTCTTTTCAAGGTGGAAGAGTCCCAGCTTGTCAACATGTTTTTCATAGCCTGGGCCAATAGAAAAGTGCGGAAATATTTAGCCAAAATTGCGGGAAGGTTTGCAAATTTCTCGGGAAATTGCGAGGGGTTAGTTGGTGCTGTTGAGGTACATTTTGCTCTCAATCTACATTTTTTCATTCTCAGAGAGAGAAAAACACACACACACTATACAGACACAGACAGAGGAGAGACACACATACACCTTTATAGAAACACTCAGAAATGCACACACATATAGAAGAGATACATGGAGATACACTCACAAACTCTCCTTATTTAAGAAAGGATGTACTCGCCTTGGAGGGGATACAACATAGATTCACTAGGTTGGTACCAGGAATGAGGGGGATTAGTTAGGAGGAAAGGTTGAGCAATTTAGGCCTATATTCTCTAGAATATAGAAGAATGAGAGGTGATCTTATAGAAACCTATAACATTATTAAGGGGCACGACAAAATAGATAGTGGGAGACTTATTCCCCTGGTTGGAGAAACTATAACCAGGGGTCACAGTCTTAAAATTAGGGGTAAGCCCTTTCGCACTGAGTTGAGGAAAAACTTCTTCACTCAGAGGGTAGTGAATTTATGGAATTCTCTACCCCAAAGGGCTGTAGATGCTCAGTCCTTGAACATATTCAAGACTGAGATTGATAGATTCCTTGTGGATAAAAGGATTAAGGGATATGGGGATAAGGCAGGTAGGTGGAGTTAGAATAGATCAGCCATGATCTTATTGAATGGCGGGGCAGGCTGAAGGGGCCGAATGGCCTACTCTTGCTCCTAATTCTTATGTTCTTATGTATGTTCAAACATACATACAGAGGAAAGAAACTCACAGACATATTCACACAGAGACACTCATAAACAGACACACGTACAGAGAAGAGAGACACACTCACACAGACTCTCACAAACACAGAGACACACAGACAATCATAACAGTGGGGCATCCAAGTGAAGTCCATTTGCCTCTTGCGCCACATCATGCTTGCGCGTCCGGAGCTGCTCCGCCCACAGTGACGTCAGGTAACCAGTGAGCAGCCTGCGGTCGAGAAACTACATTTAAAGCAGGTTTGTAGCAAAGGAGGATGTTTATAGCGGATTCTGCGGTGGGTGGGGGAGCGCGGACGCACTTTTCTATTGGCTCAGCTCATAGCTCATTCTTCTAACATTGGAAAGTTAATAAAAATAGCAATAACGATCTTTGCATTTGATATAGCACTTTATTACATCATTGAGATGTCTCAAAGCACTTCAAAGCATATACTGTAAAGTGGATTGACTGTATATTTTGTGGATGAAACGTTGTTAGAATATGGAATGCTTTACCACAAATGATAGTTAAAGCTAAGTCCAGAAGAGCATTTAAAATGGTATTGTACTCAAATCAAAATAATATTAAAGGTTTTGGAGAAAAAGGCAAGGGATTGACTTTGGGGGAAGGAGAGGGAAGTAAACAGGGTCTCCTTGAGCCTGAATTGGCACCAAGGTGATGTGTTTGGTGATTAAATATTGGAATTGAGTCAATCCAGTATAGTCCAGCCCCTGAGTCAGGTAGGTCTGCAGGGATTCTTCAGATGTCAGATAAGATGTATATTACAATGATATAACATTAGTAGGTTCAGAAAAATCTCTGACCTTGTTGGATTAACAAACCTGAGTAAAGAACCATTCATAAACTTGGAGCATGCACTCTTGGCTTTTCCCACTGCAGTTATCCACTCAATATGTGCACAATTGAAAGATTTTTCACAGACCTGTTTTCATCTACAGATTTGCTAGTTTATTGTCTTCTAGAGTCATTGTACAGCTGGCACAGGACAGGAGGAGACCATTGAGGTCCATCAAGCCTGAACTGGTGTTCTAAGAGAGCTATTGATTCGGTCCTAATGCCCTGACCTTATCTCATATGATTTTATATTTCCTTTCAAAATCTTTGACTAATTCGGTTCTGAAAACCATCTCAAGGTGTAAAACTGGGGAAAACTGTGGTCTCAGTTGTCAGCTGGTTTCTGTATCCACAGCACCACACCATTGTACCTCATCAATGGTCCCCATGACTTATCTGAACCTTAATGATGAACCAAACACAAACCCAGACACTCAAGCACAGATGGCAGAAATCTGTCCTTATGATTCACCACCGGCTGCGGCTTGAGAACCTCCGCACCTACCACCTCTTCCTTTCACAGGCAAAACTGACTTTCACTCCAAAATTATCCAGGAGGCAAATAACAATGCAAAAATGCTGTTTTTAATCTTCTCCGTGCACCCCCTCAAGCCCCCTCTATCCTCACATCAAATGTCAAGTGTAAAGAAGTCCCAGACTTCTTCACCTCAAAGACTGAAACCATCCATTTGGCTGCATCGTCCTCCCTCCTCTCTGACCCCTTCCAACCCACCCAGTCCATCCACACTGACTTCTCCCTCCGCCACGGCTACTGCGCTGTGCCCCCTCCATTGCCTCCATTTCTTCCTCCTACCTCTCAACCACACTCACCCGAATGAAGTTCACCACCTCAAACCCCTCCCCACCCAGGTACTGGTCACTCAATTCCCCCTCCTCTTCCCCTTCTGGCTGACACAGTCAACCAGTCTCTCTTCTTAGGCTCTGTTCCACTCCCATGAAAACCGTTATTATCACACCCCTCTTCAAAAAATCCACCCTCAGTCCCTCTAATCTCTCACACTACCATCCCATCTCCAACCTACCCTTCCTTTGCCAAAGTCCTGGAATGCATTGTTGTAGGTCAACTTTGGTCACACCTCTCCCTCCATTCCCTCCTTGAGCCCCTGCAGTCTGGTTTTCGCCCTGCCCACGACACAGAAAGAGCACTTGTCCTCTCTATGACAAACTATGTCCTCTCTATCTGTGACCAAAGCTCCCTCTGCCTGCACATCCTCCTGGATCTCTCTGCCACATTCGGCACAGTCAGCCACGCCATCCTCCACCGCCTCTCTTCCCTCATCCACCTTAGTGGGACTGCACTCACATGGTTCGAGTCCTACTTAACCAACCGCCTCCACTTCATCTCGGCAAATGGTTTCTCCTCCAGCCCCCACCCAGTCACCCCAGGACTCCATCCTCGGCCCTCTTCTTTTCCTTATCTAAAGATGAGAGCGCTACCACTGAGCCCAACTGACACATCCAAGATGTTATGACTGTAATAATTATATGAATAATGACATATAAAATCATTCCTTGCCTTTGTACTCACAATTAGTAGTTTAAGACATTGAGAACAGTAAGATTAGATACCTTTTTTAACAGGAGGTGGAACATCTTTCAGTGGCGGTGTTGGTTGCTTCTCAACTCTGGTTACACCAGTCAATGCTGACAATGGTGTCATCACTGTCTCCAGCACATGTGGCAAAGATCGAAACTCCTTTACATTGAAGACCAGACTAGGATCAATAGCAATCTTTTGTAGCTCTGCCAGGTCTGCATTCCTGCCTCCAATAGCAAGGGTCATGATTGAAGCTTCCTTCAACGTATCTGCAGGCATTTTGACATCATCCTTTGACTTTCCAGCAGTGATAAGCACCAGAAGCTGGGGAATATCTTTGTCTTTCCTGCTTCCTGCGGAGCTGGTAAAATGCGTTTTAAAGACATAATCGAGGGCTGCGCCAGTATTGAGTGGTCTCCCCATCTTCAACCTGAGTCGTCTTATAAAACCCAGTACCTGAGCTTTGGTTGAGAAGGTGTTTAAGTAAAATTCAGTTTTGGCGTTGTTGCTGTACTGCACCAAACCAACCTGCACAGCGTCTGGGCCAACTTCAAATTTCTCAACTATGCTTAAGATGAAGTCACGAATTTGAAGAAAATTAACTCTTCCCAAACTGGCAGAGCCATCAATCAAGAACACAATGTCCCTCCTGTTGATGGGCACTGGAAAATAATAATTTGTGAAATAAGTCAAGTGGAGTACTAGATTTTACTCTGCTTTCTCAGCACTTCAGAGCATTTGGTAAATTGATGAATTCAGTCTTAATTTTTAAGCCTTTTCTTTTGCAATTCTTAAAAGTAACTTACAGAAAACCTGCTTCAAAATGAAGAATGTATCAAAAAATTGCTAAATGCTGTAGGCTCTTGAAATGCTAAGAAAAATAATTTGGCTTGGCCTAGTGTTATTGTGTCTATGATATAAAGCCCAAAGCATATGGTATAAAGCACTGCATCAAAGACGTCAACACACTAAACATTTAATGTAAAATGTTATGTTAGTTCAGGTTGCATACTTAGACAGGAGGAACCAGTTTGTTAAAAGTCGGACAGCCAGAAAGCTTTCAAACAACCAGTGGGGATTGTAGCCAACTCCATTGCATTTCATAAAAAATTACAGTGATGAACTAGGCAACTGTAGCCTGAAAACTGACTATTTCAATAGTATAATAATAATCCTTGCACTTGACATAGCGTCTTATCATGTCGTTGAGATGCATCAAAGAGCTGTGTATTTTGTGGATGAAACACAGCAGCCAATTGCGCATAGCGGTGTCCCACAAACAATCGTGAATTGACTGACCCAATTTTTTATTTTTTTCGTAGGGATTATTACTCCCCAGAAAGTGATCCGAAAACAACCGGGTTCCAACTTACTGCTAGGTAAACAGAGATGTGTGGAATAAGGACACCTGGCCAAAGCTTTACTTTACCCGGGAATTGAATCTGTGTCTTCGTACTTGTGAGGTGAGAGCGCTAACCACTATTCTATTGGATTCCAAATCAAATCCCATTGCCTTGCCCTATCCCCATAACCTGCAAGGCTTTATACTTGATATACCTGTCTGCTTCCCTCATCAAACCCACAATGCAGTTGCAGTGATTTTTGCTGCTCTTCAAACTACATTCTCCTCGACCACCTTTGGGAGCCAGGTACCAGCACGATTCCACCTGAACTCAATTCCCATTTACACTTGGTGCTGAATCATCATTCAAATCACAAAATGTAATAATTCATAATCATTGCGTTTAATGCAGCACCCATATCATTGAAATGTCTCAAATGGCTTTTCAGTCGTTTTTGTTAAGTGCTTAATTGTGCTAAGTGTTCAATACATAGCACACAAACTATTTATCTGGAGGATTGTTGGCCCGGACACCACAAGAAATGTTTTTCTCTTTGCACACAATGTCATGGGATCTTTATTATCCACTTGAACAAGCAACTGGGACCTCAGTTTATACTCTCAGTCAAAGGATGGGTGTAGCATAATGCATAAATTCCCAAATTAATTTCACGAAAAGTAACCAAATCTTGCCAGATTACTGAAGATTAAATGTGATGGACTTCCTTTAAAATTTTACATATAGTTTTTAACAATAGTAAATTTGATCATTTTAAGCAAGAGGACGATAATACATTTGATGAAGTGCCTCACCACGTTGTCGATGTTTCAAAGCACTTCACAGGATTTTACTATGAAGGGTAATGACAGTATTTGTAAGCGAGTACTGGCATGTGGCAAATTGTGCATAGCTTTGAAATAAATGATCAATGTTTATCTGAGGGATTGTTGGCCAGGACGCCAGGAGAAATGTCCTTCTTTTTTTGAAAAGTGCTATGGGATCTTTAAACTTCACCTGAATATCATGATTAATAATTGGGTGTTATATTAAACAGCAAATTCCTGTAGCATAGAGTTTAGCCACGGGACTCCACAATTTAATTAATAAAACGCACGCGAGAGGATCCATGTTCGATTCCTGGGTAGCGCGAAACCTTAGGCAAATTTCCTCACCCCACACGCTTCAGTTTACCTAGCAGTAAGTAGGAACCCGGTTGTTAGTCAATTGTTGGATTGCTTTCTGGGGGTAATAAACCCTCAAAAAATAATTTGACGGTTGATAATCTATGACTGTTTTTTGTGGGGCATTGCTATGTGAAATTGGCTGCTGCATCTTGACCTCAAAATACAGTCAATCTACTTTATAATACAGTATATTCTGTGAAGCACTTTGAGACGTCTCAACAATGTGATAAGGTGCTATATCAAATGCAAGGATTATTATTATTATAAATAGTGTGAATTTTAACTTCACAATGCAAACAGTGTAGAATGCAGAGCAATTTAAAACTGTATACCTTCAGGGCTCATTTCAACAGACTCTAGAACTATCACCCGGTTGGCTATCATCGAAAACATTTGCAGTAGCTTTTGCTGTGCAGCAGCGTTCACCTGGAAATTGGAAAATTCTGCCGTGAAAATGGGATCAGTCGCAATCAGCTTGACTTCAGCTCTGTCAGCTTGGCCCAGTCCAATGACAAACGTAAACACGTGGTTCCGTTTGATTTCCAGCACTCCCTGTCTAATGTTGTCGCTCGACTTCTTCGAAGTCAGGAGGAACACTGCCTGGGGCACCCCGTCCCCTGCCCTACTGCCGGCCGACTCAGTGAAATAGCTGTCGACCAGAAACTGCAGGGCGGCACCAGTCTTAAGCTCTTCCCCGCCTCTCAGCTGAAGGCCTTTGACAGCATCCAGGACTTGTGTTTTGGTGGAGTAAGTGTTGAGATAGAATTCGGCGCTGGGGTCATCGCTGTACTGAGCCACGCCGATTTGGATCGTGTCTGGCCCCACGTCCAGGTTTTCAATGAAATTTACCATAAAATCGCGTACGTGCGCAAAGTTGGCTCTGCCCACGTTGTTCGATCCATCAATTAAGAACACAAGGTCGGCTGTTTCTTGGGCTTTTAAGAGGGAAGAAAAAAGCAAAAAAAGAAAAACAAGGTGAACAGGTTAAAAAAACAGGTGATGTCCATGCAGGGATTAACCTGAGCATTAACAAGTGAAACTGCTGCAATTCAGTGAACATAACATGAACATAACATTTGCTAAAGCAGTGCCTACATTCTGCATTCTTTGATCATTAAATCTCGGTTACTTTGTTTCAAAAGACATCCTGGAAACCACGTTTCTTTTTAAAATTTACTCTTTTGTCTTTGCTATCTGTTCCTGACGTTCTGTCCAACTTTTTTACGTGGGGCGATCCTGTTTGGATGTCCACTTGGTTTGTTGAGGGAAGAAAAAAAGCAAAAAAACAAACAAGAAGTTAGGACATGGCATCCATTGTAGGGATTAACCTCTGAGCATTACCGCAATCAGCTGAACTGCTGTGGAAAATCAACATCAGACATAACTCAGTGAAATAAAGCTTGATATATAACCCTCACTATCTCAAAGTGCTTTACATAATGAGCTGGCTTGAACTGTAGCAACTGTTATGCTGAAATGTGTTGAGCTCACTGGGAGAAACTCCCTTCTGCAACCTCCTACTGTTCTAAGCGAGAATGGTCTACGTGACTGTTCAGCAATATTTACCGGAGCTTCTGCAGGGCACAGCTCCCAATAGTTTTGGTATCTGTGTATGTTTTGGTGTTCAATCTTTCATGTTTGCTTGTTACATGCAGAACACCATCACCAAATGAGAGAGGTAGAGTACATTCACAAACCCAGCTTTATTGACCACAACTCTTTCTTACCCTGTTTTTGGGTTTCAGTGATGTTGGAGAGCATCAGACCAAGCACGAGCAACAGCGGCATACACACATGCATCTTCATTGCTGCAACAGCACACTGGAGGTGCAACCTGGGACAAACGGGAACTGTATCAGTATTTCATTAATTTACCCCAACGCTGTCCGTTTAATTACCCCATTGTAGAGTGGGTTTTCCTTCCTAGTGAGAAACCTGGAGAAAGATTCTAAATATGGTATCTGCTAAATAGACTTTCCTTAAAATCCAAATCAGCACTAGAGGAGATGAAGACTCTCAAAGCTTTTTGTGCATATATTTTGTAGCTGTTCATCTACAAGTTAGTCATTATACTCTCACTGGTATTTAAAATGTGGGCCCATCTGCACCTACACGATAGTCATCACCTAAAAGATAGTCATTATACCTTGCAGTGTATCCTGTGAAAGCACTGTTTCAAATACAAGGATTATTATGTCATGTGCAAGAAATTAGAGTACTGGCTCAACTTGGGCTGAGTGTATATGTGCTTCTTGCATTTTACTTTGTGGTTTATGGAGAGATCAGGGCTTTTCACACCCTTGCCAGGTTGATTAGCCCTGAGCTAAGCAAAATTTGCAGCTAGCTTTACTGTAAATGGCCATGAGAAAAAAGAGAATGAGAGACAAAAGTTAAAAAGTGACAAGTTGATGTCAAGCTTGGGTTTTAAAAGCTTATAGATTGTAAGAGGAAGAAAACACTGTTGGAGGTAGGAGTTGTGCAAGGAGTGGAAGTCTGTCACGATGTAATGAATTTCTGTCGAACATGCGTCCCGTCCTTCGGATGAGATATTAAGATAAAGACCCATCTGCCTGTTCAGGAGGTCATTAAAGATCCCATGGCACTATTTGAAAAGAGAAGGGAGTTTCTCTCTCCCTGTGTCCTGGCCAACATATTCCCAAATAAAATTGGTCACTCATTTCATGGGTGTTTGTGGGACACTGCTGCTCGCAAAATTGGCTGCCACATTTCGTCCACAAAACACACAGTCAAAACCACTTTACTATGCTTTGAGACATCTCAATAACTTAATAAGGCGCTGAATCAAATGCAAGATTTATTATTATTACAATACATGGAGTAAGCTTTGACTGCAACACTATGCAAAGTGCACAGCTGGAGTTTGGCAGATGGAATGTGCAGATGGGCCCAGTATTTCCAATTATTGTAAAATGTTGCCTCAAGCATCTGTTATCTACCATAAATCACATTTTAAATACCAGTGATTCAGAGACCAAATATGATCCAGGTTTCAGCTGTTCCATAAGACAGGAAACCTCTTATTCTGACATCATCATCATAATAATAATAATAATCCTTGCATTTTGACATAGCGCTTTTCACGTCGGGAGGACGTCCCAAAGCGCTTCACAGAACACACTGTAAAGTGAATTGACTGTATATTTGTGGGCGAACGCAGCAGCCAATTGCGCACAGCAATGTCCCACAAACAGTCGTAGATTGAAAATGATCAATTTATTATTGTTTTTGGTTTTGGAGGGATTATTATTAGGCTCTGTGTGGAGTAAGGAAACTTGCCCAAGGTTTCGCCTGGAATTGAACTCAGGTCTCTCACTTGCAAAGCGAGTGCTCTAACCACTGAGCTATAGGATTCCACTCCATTATTTGTGAACAAACCTGCTAGCACAATTTGTGCAAAGTAATGTCCCACAAACAGCCATGGAGTGAGTGACCATTTTTATTTGGGGGATTGTGGCCAGGATAACGGGAGAGAGAAACTCCCTTCTCTTCTTGGATAGTGCCATGGGATTTTAATATGTCCCTCTTACTGAAGAAACGAGTAAAGATTGTTTTATTATGAACCGTTCTCTTTCAGTCAGCTTAGCTCAGTCTGAACTGACACTCCAATGCAGTGAAGGGGGATGTGTTGCATTGCAAGAGGTGCTGTCATTCACATGAGAGTTTAAACCTACAGCAGATACCATATTTACAATCTTTCTTCCAGTCTTCTCACCAGGTACTGCGATGGTTCTCACGCCTGTGTGTAAACCGCGTAGTGTACTAGATGTGACCTGCATAATGAATGTACTAAGCAGCCTCTGTGTGCTTTGGGACGTTCTTCCGACGTGAAAGGTGCTCTATAAATGTAATTTTGTTGTTGCTGTTGTTGTGGTTTTCAAGAAAACTCAATGGTAATTTTATACATTCTTAACAAACCTTATATAAACTGTATCTTAAATATAAAAACGGTTGCAGCATTGGAAATAGAAACCATAAAACACTACAACTATACAACTAGCAGCGTTATTTAACAATAATCATAGAATCATAGACACAAACAGCACAGAAAGAGTCCATTCGGCCCATCGCATCTGCGCCAGCTCCTAAAAGAGCAATCCAACTCAATCCCACTGGCCCACTTTCTCTCCATAGCCCTGCAATCCTGTCCTCCCCAAATACCCATCTACTTCTCTCTTAAAAGTTGTTATTGAATCAGCTTCCACTACCCTTTCAGGTAATGCATTCCAGATCCGAACACCTCACTGGATAAAAAAAAAAATCCTAACCTCCCCTCTGTTTCTTTTACAACTATCTTAAATCGGTATCCTCGGGTTACTGACCCACATGCCAGTGGAAACAGTTTTTCCGGGTTCAACCTGTCAAATCCTCATGATCTTGAAAACCTCTATTAAATCCCCTCTTAATCTTCTCTGCTCTAGGGAGAATAATCCTAGTTTCGCTAACCTCGCCTCATAACTAAGGTCCTTCATTCCTGGTACCATCCTCGTAAACCTCCTTTGCACCCTCTTCAATGCCCTAACATCTTTCCTAAAGTGCAGTGTCCAGAACTGAACACAGTACTCCAACCTTGGCCTAACCAGCATTTTATAAATAGTCAACATAACCTCCTGACTTTTGAATTCTATGCCCCTGTTTATAAAACCTAATATCCCATATGCTTTTTTAACAGCTTTATCTACCTGTCCTGCCACCTGCAGAGATTTGCTTATGTAGACCCCCAGGTCTCTCTGTTCATTTGCCCCCTTTAAGATTGTACCATCAACTTATACTGCCTCTCCTCATTCTTCCTACCAAAATGCAACACTTTGCATTTCTCCACATTACCTCATCTGCCATGTTTCTGCCCATTTTACCAATCTGTCTAAGTCCTTTTGGAGTCTGGTGCTCTCCTCCTCACCATAAACTACTTTTCCTAGCTTAGTATCGTCTGCAAATTTGGAAATTGTGCTCCCTATATCCAGGTCCGTATCATTAATACAGATCAGAAAAAGCAGTGGTTCCAATACCGACCCCTGAGGGACACCACTACACACATCCCTCCAGTCAGAAAAACAACTGTTTACTACCACTCTCTGCTTTCTGTCTCCTAGCCAGTTCTGGATCCATGTTGCCACAGTCCCTTAAATACCGTGGGATTCTATTTTGTTTATAAGTCTCTTATGTGGCACTTTGTCAAATGCCTTTGAAAATCTACATAAATGACATTACTGCACTACCTTCATCCACCCTCTCAGTCACTTCATCAAAAAACTCTATTAGGTTTGTCAGACACGATCTGCCTTTAACAAATCCATGTTGACTCTCCTTTATGAAACCATATTTTTGTAAGTGAGAATGTATATTGTCCAGGATTATAGTCTCCAGAAGTTTCCCTAGTGCTGATGTTAGGCTGATTGACCTGTAGTTCTTGGGTTTATCCTTCTGCTCCTTTTTGTACAGGGGAGTAACATTTGTAACCTTCAGCCATGCCCTCTGCCTCAACAAAAAGATTTCCACTTGGGTCTCTAATTGGACCCACCCTACCTCTTGATATGCTTATAAAATACCTTAGGGTTCCCTTTTATGTTTCCTTCTTATCTTTTCTCATACAATCTCTTCGCCCTTCTCA